AGACCCAAGTTCCTCCCAAAGAGAAAAACGGAGAGAAAACCATCAGATGATGAGTTCCTGATTAGAAAAAGTAGGTATATTAAAATGATACATAAAATTTATTTAATTCCCAGAGCTAAGATCTTGCACAAATATTCCCTGTGGTGGTAGAATTGCAGGGGTTTTAAAACAAACAAGCAAGCAGGTTTGGCAACTTGTATTTTAGCATGCACAAACAAATAGAAATAATAAATTGATGGTTCGTACCTCTGAAACGTTATTTCTGTGACGTACAGGCACAGCAGCTCTAGAGGAGGATGCCCAGATACTCAAAGTGATTGAGGCTTACTGCACCGGAGCCAGTCTCCACCAATCCACCACAGGTAGACCTTTGTGTCACATGTACTGTATAACTAAGCTACTGCAATTTTAATAATGGAAAAGTATTGTTAATATAGTTTAATGGTGTGATTAGAAGATTTGATTTGTTTGCACAGCTGTTCGTAAGGAGTGCATCCCCCAGGTCCTGCTTCCAGAAGAAGAGAAGATTATTGTTGAGGAGATCAAGAGCAATGGCCAGACGATCATTGAGGGAAAGTATGTTCTGTTGTCCGATATCAGAATTACTTGATGATTAGCATTGAGTCCATTTAAGAAAATGCTTATATTTTTTGTTTGTTTTGTTTGTTTATTAGTGACCTAGAAATCGTCCAGAATTATAAATATTTCTTCCGTTTTTTTTGTTTTTGTTTTGTTCTTTGGATTAGTGACCTAGAAATAGTGCAGAATTGTAAATATTTCTTCTTTTTTATTTTTTATTAGTGACCTAGAAATAGTGCAGAGTCATAAATATTTCTTCATTTTGCATCTTAATGTTTCTTTTTAACTTTTAACCCTAGATTTTTCAATCTTGACTCGGTCTTGACTTTTGATTTCTACTGTATATATACATTATATACTATTTTGTATTTTATTGTCTTGCAGAAGTCTTGTTGATGCTGTTTATGCTCTAAAAGATGAAGTCCATGAATTAAAAAAGGTGAGATTCTGCATTATTGTAACCTTTGTTGGCATTATAGCGTAATCTACTGATGCCGTGTGTTTGTGAATGCAGGAGAATAAATGGATGAAGCAGTGTCTGGAAGAGGAACAGAAGTCCCGTAAGGAGCTAGAGCGTATAGTTAGAAAGATGGCCAAGCAAAAGAATGACTGTTCCTGGGATGAAGGAGGTCACTAAAGAACACTCTGGACACTCGCCCGTTTCCCCTCACCAGCTGCATGTATGTGTTTCTGTGTCTGTGTGTCCTCACAAATGTGTTTTTATGTGTTTTTCCATCACATTACACACTGCACGTTGTTTTTGGAAAGTCACCATGCTGGGGATTTTCAGCCATTTCTCATCAAATGTTTTTTTTGGACAAGATGCGATGAGAATATCAACTCTGTGTTTAGTGACTGTGTTTTTCTCGCCACACTGAAGAATATCACTGTGCGGTTTGCTTCACGCTCCTGTGGTGTGCCATTCTGAGAACAAAACGCCAACTGTTCTGGAAGACCAAGTGAACTGCTTAAGTATTTTGTGATTTGGAAAACTTCAGATAACTGTCCATTTTTCGTTCCGGTTCACTCAAGCACTCCAAGAAGAAGCATCACAGAAAAGATGGTGGAATCTCTTGTTTTTCGAACTGATCAAATATCTGCCTCACTTTATGACTGTTACTAGTCATGGACAAAAGAAATTCGATGACAGTCATTCAGCCCATGAACAGCATTCTGACTCAAGCCACTATTGCACAAGTGAAAATATTCTGTTAATGGCGTAAGAGAAGATATTTGTGGTTGAACATTGCAGGACTCCACCGTATCCACAAGTATTGTTCTTTTCAGTCCTATTTCTGCTTTTAAAATGTGAAAACGGTTGCTCGAGGTAGCTTTTAGGTCACAAATGAACAAGACTGAGATTTGTAGTTTGCACCTGATTGACACGAGATACCCTATTTGCCATCTTGAAATGAGTTTGGTTCTTCTTTTTAGTTTGAGTTTATTCCAAATATGTGACTCGCGTCAGCATGGGTACACAGTATTTCTAAAACAGCCATTATGTTACATAATCATGTTTCTGATAATCATCACTAGTTTAAAGCTATCAGGGATATAGTTGTCAGAAATAGTCAAGTTTATAATACTATACTAATACGATACATCATATAATGTATGTATATCATATATACAGTATAAATATGTATATATCATAGATGTTATGGCAAAAGGAACCATTTAAACTTTTTTTTTAATAGTAACAAAAATTCATTAGGAAATTTTATCCTCCTTTTTCAGAGGCTTGAAACTATTTCATATGATCTTAAACCAAAAAAAAAAAATCTAGTATGTTTGTGGGTTTGGTACTAGGAGCCCTTTTAGGACTCGAAAACCAAGTGTACGTAGAAGCATACAGTACTTTAGGCACTGATATTGTTCCTCACTTACCATATCTTGGAGGCTCATATTAGAGTGAGAAACAATTTTGTTGATTTCTTTTTTTTCTTTCAGCAAACTGCTCCCCATCAGCAATAGAGCATAGGGTAGCACCATATTTAATTTTTGACAGGAATGAAATCGAGGCTGTGAGGGATAGAAGTACAGTGCATTCAGTGGATTGTACTGTAGTTTAACAACATACCGATTGTTCAGCTGACAAAACATCTTTCTAAAGAAACTTTCTGTGTGATCTAAGACCTTTATACAGTGGATGCCATGGTAAAGACTGTACATCTATCCCTAACAGCCTCATTTTCATTCACATTGAATTCAATATGGCATCTAACCTGACTAAAGAATGTTGCACTGAAGGTGCATTTTCTTACTCATTTGTACTCTGCGTGGCATGCGTGGTTCATATTTTCTTGCCATTCATATTTTCTTGCCACTTGCCATTTTAACGGTAACAAGTTAAATCAAATGAATAAGTCATTACACAGACAGTTACACAATGACACTGTGTCTGGAGTACTAAACCTTTCTTTTTTTACTAATCATTACCAATCATAACCGTGACTAATCTTTTCATTCGCTGTGAATCGGAGATGTGATCTCTATCTTAAGCAGTGAAGAAATGCATGCAAAGAGCTGTAAAGATGAGCAAAACTTGGGTGGGGATTTTTAAAAAATCTTTTTAAACCCACCAGCAGACACCTCCGGAGCATTGCTGTGGCAATTCAATGCAATATGCAACTGGTTTGTTCTTACAATTGCTGTGCAAGAGCCAGTTTTTCTCTTGGAAGGAGTATACTGTATAATATATTCTTCCGATTAGGCAATAAGATGTGCTCTGAGGTACACAAATATAATGCTGTTACTGTGGTACTGTGTGTAAATCTGTTTCTTGTTTGTGTGCGTGTTTGTTTTTCCAGCAATTAACCTTGCATGCCATGTGTTACACAGCCTTAAATATTAATTTAAAGTGTTAACCCTGATTGTATTGTTGTTGTTGTTGTTATGGAAACTCTTGAAATTTGAAAACATCGGTCTAAAATTTTGACATCTACGGTGGTAAATGTGATATTTCTGATGGTCTGTTTATGTGTGTTATTTGGAAGAGACTGATTTGATCTGTAGGTTATGCAAGTATGTATAGTACCACGTGGAAACATGCTATTTGCTATAGGTGGCTACTGATCTCACTGAAAGGAAATTCACTTTTTTCCTCCTAATGAATAGCATTCATCCTAAAAATGAATAGCATTTTCAGGTGATCATAAGGGTTGAAGAATGTCCACATCAGTTTCCTCTTAAAAGTGCCCATGTCTGCAGAACACAAGTTAAGTTTTATTTTTGCGGAGCTGATCTATGCAATATAAATGCTATAT